TGTGGCTGGAGAGAGAGTTGTATTTCAGGGATTACGAGGTGTTCTCTCCAGTCTGGTTTCTGTGTTGGAGGTGAGCAGGATGTGGAAGAAAGGATGTCCGGTATTTTTAGCTTCGGTGCGGGATCTGAACCTGGAGGTTGGTTCTGTTTCTGAGATCCCTGTGGTACGGGAATTTGCTGATGTTTTTCCTGAGGAGTTGGTTGGTTTACCTCCGGATAGAGATGTGGAGTTCTCTATCGATGTTTTTCCGGGTACAGCTCCTATATCGAAAGCTCCGTACAGAATGGCACCGAAAGAACTTTCTGAGCTGAACTTTCAGCTTCAGGAGTTGGTTGACAGAGGTTTTGTACGTCCTAGTGTTTCGCCCTGGGGAGCACCTGTTCTGTTTGTGAAAAAGAAGGACGGTACACTCCGTATGTGTATTGATTACAGAGATTTGAACAAGGTCACGATCAAGAACAAGTATCCTTTGCCTCGGATAGACGACTTGTTTGATCAGCTTTCCGGATCTTCGGTATTTTCGAAGATTGATTTGAGATCCGGATATTATCAGGTGAAGGTGAAGGAAGCTGATGTGGTGAAGACTGCTTTCAGTACTCGGTACGGGCACTACGAGTTTTTGGTTATGCCTTTTGGGGTAGCCAATGCGCCTGCGATTTTCATGGATCTGATGAACCGAGTATTCAGGGAGTATTTGGATCAGTTTGTGATCGTCTTCATTGACGATATTCTGGTATATTCTGCATCTGAGGATGAGCATGCCAGACATTTGAGGATTGTGTTGGAGACTTTGAGGAGGCATCAGCTGTATGCCAAGTTCTCTAAGTGTGAATTCTGGCTGAAGAGCATTTCTTTTCTGGGGCATGTGATTAGCGGAAAAGGCATTTCTGTAGATCCCCAGAAGATTCAGGCTGTTGCTGATTGGCCAAGGCCGACTACGGTATTTGAGGTACGTAGTTTCTTGGGCATGGCCGGGTATTATAGGAAGTTTGTGAAAGGATTTTCACAGATTTCGACTCCTCTGACGAGACTGACTCAGAAGTCAGTACCTTTTGTTTGGACACCGGAGTGTGAAGCTAGTTTTCAGAGATTGAAGGAGTGTTTGACTTCAGCTCCAGTGTTGGCACTTCCGTCAGGTACGGAGGGTTTCCAGGTGTTCAGTGATGCTTCACTGAAAGGACTGGGATGTGTCCTGATGCAGCATGGTCAGGTAATTTCTTATGCTTCTAGACAGTTGAAACCACATGAGAAGAATTACCCGACACATGATTTGGAGTTAGCTGCAGTTGTTTTTGCTTTGAAGATTTGGCGTCATTACCTGTATGGCGTCAGATGTGAGATTTTCACTGATCATAAGAGCCTGAAGTATATTTTTACTCAGAAGGATCTGAATCTGAGACAGAGGAGGTGGCTCGAGTTGATCAAGGACTACGATTTGACTATTCAGTATCAGCCTGGTAAGGCTAATGTGGTAGCAGATGCCTTGAGCAGGAAGTCTTCTGGATTATCAGGTATTCAGCTTACTTGTGATGACTTTCTGATTCGTGATATGGAGCGTTTGCAGTTGGAAGTGATTTCCTCCAGTGGTTTGGAGTTGGCTCAGATGAGTATTCGGTCTACTTTGGAAACAAGGATTCAAGAAGCCCAGAAGTCAGATTCTGATTATTCGAAGTTGATTGCTCAGATTGGATCTGGTAAGACTCCTGAACTTCGAATTTCTGATTCTGGTGCTATTTTCTGTAAGAACAGGTTGTGGGTACCTGTGTTTGGAGACTTGAGGCAGGAGATTCTGTATGAATCTCATCATTCAGGCTACACTATACATCCAGGCAGTGGTAAGATGTACGCTGATATGAAGCTTTTGTTTTGGTGGCCTGGGATGAAGAAGGATGTGGCAGAGTTTGTGTCGAGATGCGAAGCCTGTCAGTTGGTGAAGGCAGAGCATCAGCGACCAGGTGGACTGTTGCAGTCGTTGCCTATCCCTGAGTGGAAATGGGAGGAGGTAACGATGGATTTTGCGATGGGTTTCCCTCGATCTAGACAAGGGCACGACGCTATTTGGGTGGTTGTAGATCGATTGACGAAGTCAGCCCATTTTCTTCCGATCAGACAGACGGATTCAGTTGATCGCTTGGCACAGATATATGTGAAAGAGATAGTCAGATTGCACGGTGTGCCTCGTGTGATCGTATCTGATCGAGATGGACGTTTTACTTCCAGACTTTGGAAAGGCATTCAGCAAGGCTTGGGTACAAAACTGCATTTTAGTACAGCCTTTCATCCTCAGACCGATGGACAGTCTGAGAGGACTATTCAGGTACTGGAAGATCTGTTAAGACTTTGTGTTCTGGACTTTAGCGGAAGCTGGGAAGATCATATTCCGCTGATTGAGTTTGCCTATAACAACAGTTTTCAGTCCAGTATCGGTATGGCACCGTACGAAGCTTTGTATGGCAGGAAGTGCCGTACTCCTTTGACTCTGACGGAGGTCGGAGATAGGCAGGCTTTGGGAGCCACTTTTGCTGATGAAACTGCTCAGAAGATCAATTTAATAAGAGAAAGATTGAAAGCTGCTCAAGATCGACAGCAGAAGTATTACAATCAGAAGCACAGATTTGTAGAGTTTCAGGTTGGTGACTTTGTGTATGTCAAAGTCAGCCCGATGAAAGGTGTGAGCAGATTTGGTCAGGTGAGCAAGCTTAGTCCGAGGTATGTTGGACCTTTTGAAATCCTGGAAAGGATTGGAAAAGCTGCTTACAAATTGATGCTTTCTGATTCGATGCCTGATGTGCATAATGTGTTTCACGTATCCACTCTGAGGAAGTGGGTATCCGACTCTGGGAAGAAAGTATCTGCTGATGAGGTTGAGATTCAGGAGAATCTGACGTACAAGGAAGAGCCAGAGTTGATTTTGGCATACGACGTACGAAAGCTAAGAAGTAAACAGATTCCAATGGTTAAAGTCCAGTGGAAGCACCGTACTGCACGGGAAGCCACTTGGGAGAAGGAGTCTGACATGAGACGGTTGTACCCATACTTGTTTTGACTGAGTTTGGACTGGATAATGTCGAGGACGACATTTTTTTTAAGTTGGGGAGATTGTAATATCAGTTTCTGCTCCAGGTTCGTCCGGACGAAGTCGGATCGTCCGGGACGATCGGTACAGGTTGTGCAGAGAAAATCATGTTTGGCTGTATGGTTCGTCTGGACGAAATCAGGATCGTCTGGACGAAAATAAGTCAGAGAACCCTTCGCCGGGGACGATATTCAATTTTCGTCTGGACGAAATAATTCTCTTCATGGATCGTCCGGTACGAAGCTCGATCGTCCAGGACGATCAGTCTGGATATATATAGAAATGAGATATTTTGAAGAGAGAGAAAAAGTTGAGGAGAGAGAAAAACGAAGGAAAAAGTGGAAAAGTGGATTTTCGGGCGACGCCGAGCTGTTTTCGTCCGAAGAGACTGTTGAGGAAATTGCTGTACGCAAGGTAAGGCACAATCCGACTTTCTCAATTTTCAGAACCGTCGAGTTTGGCGGTATTATCTGTCCGGAATTAAGTTTTGTTCGCGATTTTCGTCCGTAATTTCCGACTGGTTTAGTTTCTACCGCGTAACTTTCTGTATTTTGTTGAACTGCCGAGTGTGCACATTTTGGTTATTTTTTTAAGATTTTTGTCCGGGTATTTTTGATTCGACTGTGTTTTTAGTCGACTGGATTTTTCTGTGAACTTGGAAATTATCTGTGCAGTAGAATAAATGTTCTAAAATGTTGATATCTATATTCTGTGCGAATTTGGTGAATTTTGATTTTCAGGAAAATTGTGTAAATTCTGTATACTGCCGTTGTGCTGCCCGATTTTTGAGTAATTTCTGTTTTGTCCAGAAATCTTCTGAATTGATATACTATCTGTATATGCTATATAAAGGGAGTTATAAGGGGCCTGGATCCTATGAGATTCAGTTAGTGTCTGGGAATTCTGAAATGAGCTCAATATGAAATCTGATATCTGTTCTGTTCCGGATCCGAGGAAACAATCTGTTTAGGTGCTATATGCACTATATATGTATTCTGGTGCTATAAGCACATCTGATCTGATCTGTTTTGGTGCCGTGAGCACAAAGGGAGGCATAAGTGGCCTGGATCCTATGAGATTCAGTCAGTGTCAGGGAATTTAGCTATTAATTAAATATCTGATATCTGCTATATGATTCTGATATGATTTGTTCTGTTCCGATATGATCTGTACGATTCTGATTCTGTTGATCTGATGTGTCTGATCTGTTATGTTTCTGATTTGATACAACTTCCATTTCCGTACAGTTTTGTTGATTTGATATCTGTCCGAATCTGTTTCAATTCTGTACGGATTTGTCTGCTGTGTTGGTTTTGAGATTCTGAGGATTTTGATTGGAGGTTTGTTGCTTTACTGAGCTGTTGAGCTCACCCTTGCTTTCTGGTGGTTTTCAGGTTCTGGGAAAGGCAAGGAAGTCCAGGATTAGTTCAGAGTCTGATCAGTATAGGTACTTTTGTACTTTTGATTTTGTACAGTCATGGCTTTTCTTTTCTGTCTTTCTTTCGGTCGAAAGCCATGTACTGTTCTGTAGATGATTGTTTTGAGGAAATGAAATCGGATAGATGTTTTGTTCCGCTGCATTTGATGATACATAGTAGCTCTGTGTTTGTTAGTCTGTGTGAATTAATTATTTGGAAGATTCAGTTCCGAACCAAATTCCAAAGCTAGATCCTGGTTAGTGCAGCTCCGTCGCGATCCAGCACGGGCGGGATCCGTCTCGTCTCGGGTCGGGTCGTGACAAGCTTTTTTGGTATCAGAGCAATGGTTTTGGAATTTGAGAATTTTGTGAAACAGAGCTATAGGAAGTGATCAGTAAGTCTGTCTGGGGGGTAATTTTGATTTGTTTGGCTTTTTATTTTGTTGTTTTTGTGATAGTTTTCCGGATTTTTTCTGGATTTTCTGTATGGATCAGCCAGACCCAGACATGACAGATGGTCAGAGTGCCGATCAGGCAGCACCAGTGGGGAGTACAGCCCCAGTGGTCGGTGCTGATACGCTTTCTCAGTTTGCTTCGCTGGTTGCTCAGATGATGAGCGAGACTCAGAGTAGAGCTTCTACTGTCAGATCTGATGACCTGGATAGACATTTGCAGTTGTTTTTGAGGTTGAAACCTCCGAGGTTTGAGGGCGCTGTTGAGCCCAGAGCTGCTGAAGAGTGGCTGAGGAGAGTGGAGAAGACCTTTGACGGGATGCAGTGTCCGTCAGACAGGAAGGTACCGTTAGCAGTTTTTCTGTTAGACGGAGAGGCTGAGCACTGGTGGGACGGCCAGCAGGCAGCCAGATTTCAGGGCAGACTGAACTCTTTGATTACTTGGGAAGAGTTCACTGAGGTATTCCGAGATTGGTTTGTTCCCCCTTCTGCACGACAGCAGATGCAGGAGAACTTTCTGAGGCTTGTTCAGGGGAGCAAGACGGTGATGCAGTACGAGGCTGAGTTTACTGCATTAGCCAGGTACGCTCCGCAGCTGGTTAGCACTTCTGCTGAGAGATGTTACAGATTTCTGAGGGGATTCACAATTTCGTACAGAACAGAACAGATACAGAAAATAGTACAGATACATATAGCTAAATGCCCTGACACTGACGGAATCTCTATGGATTCCGGCCCCTTATGCCTCCCTTCCCAGACACTGACTGAATCTCATAGGATTCAGGCCCCTTATGTCTCCCTTTGTGCTCACGATGATTATTTTGAGGAAATGAAAAGATAGATGTTTTGTTCCGCTGCATTTGATGTTTTTAGTAGCTCTGTTGTTCTGTGTGCTTCTGTTGAGTTAAGAATTTGAAAGATCAGTTCAGTAACCTAATCCAAAGCCAGATCCTGGTTAAGAAAGGTCTCTCGTCGCGATCCGGCTCGGGCAGGATCCGTCCCCGTCGGGTCGGGTCGTGACAGTTTAGCACATTCATATTAGAGAGGGAGTTTTTTAAGGGGAGCATATACACCACCCTTTTTCTGAGAAAAGTAGGAGATGAGTTACTCATTATTTATATCCATGTTGATGATATATTTTTTGGATCTTCTAATAAAAAGTAATGTGATGATTTTCTTAAAATAATGAGTAAAGAATTTGAGATGAGTATGATGAGAGAATTGTCCTACTTTTTGAGATTTAGTATAAAACAATTGGATAATGAAACCTTCCTTAATCAATCAAAGTACATTAATTACATCTTAAAAAAATATGAAATGGATGAAGCAAAGCCAATAAATACTACCATGAGCTCCAGTGTTTAGTTAGATAAGGACTTAAATGAAAATTTCTTTGATAAAAAGAAGTGTAAAGGAATGATTGGATCTCTTATTTACTTGACTGCTAGCCGACCTAATATAGTGTTAAGTGTTTATCTCTGTGCTAGGTTTCAAAATGGTCCTTAAGAATCCCACCAGACTGCAGTTAAGAGAATTCTTAGATATCTCTTAGATACCTACAACTTAAGATTCTGGTATCCTAGGAACAATACTCTTTTAAAATTATTGGATATTCTAATTCTAATTTTTTAGGTTGTAGGGTGGATAAAAAGAGCACTTTTTCAACTTATCAATTCATAGGACTATCCTTAGTCTCTTGGTCCAGTAGAAAGTAAAACTCTATTGCACTTTCCACTACAGAAGCTAAGTACATTGCCTTAGGAAGTTGTATGGCCCAAGTCCTTTGGTTGAAGCAATAAATTTTGGATTTAGGATTACATGTTGGTACAATTAAAATTATATGTGATAACACCAGTGCCATCTGCATCTCTAAAAATTATATCCAAAATTTAAGGACCAAACACATTGACATAAGGCATTAGATTATTAGGGACCATGTTACTAAAGGAGAAATTGAGTTACACCATGTAGCAACTAAAAACATACTAGCTGACATTTTTAGTAAACCACTAGCATTTGAGATATTCAGCATCTTGAGGACTAGATTGGATGTGATTGACATAAATATATGAACTTGATGATTACTGAACTATGAACATTATTTTTTATGATTTTTCTTTAATTTTTTATTTTTTGATCTTTCTTTGTTGTTGTTTTCTGATCTTTCTTTTATTTTTGTCATTTATTATATTATTGCATAGATTGCTAATTTTTGTGTATTTGTTATTATTTTCCATATTTTCATTTCTTATGGCTTTATTTTTTCATTCAATTTTTTTTCTTTCATTCGGTCATTGTTGAAATGATATTTTATGCTTTTTTTTATTTTTTAAAATTTGTATTCAATTATTTACATCTCTAAATTAATTAAAGGAAGAAACACAATTGATTGTTTCCTTTCTTGTAACTCCTTTTAGTAGTATAATTTTATTTTCGAAATAAAAGTCTAAGTTAAATTAATAAATGGACTTTACAATATAGATCTATCTTATTATAGTAATCTATGTTATTAAAATAATGTTTAAAGTCATTAAATCACTTTTAAACTTTCTTAATCTTGTTGATTGCATTTATCATATGACTTTGATTCTTCTTTGTGGTTTACTCTTCCTTATACTAGAGAGTAAGTTTTTCTTCTCTAACATCTGGAAGATATTCTCACAATTGAGAGTATTTAAAAGTTTCAAAAGGGAGCTAGCTTTTAAAAATGACAAGAGGGATAAAATGTGACCAAAAGGAAAAACTAAAAAGATGTGCAATGACTGCCAAAAAAATTGAAAGATACACAAAGTGTGTAAGAAATCAAAAGATGCGCAAAGTGCGCCAACTAATTGATAAGAGGCACAAAATGAACCCATAAGAAAGCATGCTTCATTCTCTTTCAAACCTTTAAATCTTAGAAGAATTCATGTGTCACTTGATATTTTGAAAGACTTGATTTTGAAAGCCATGATTGTGATGAATTACTTTGCTATGTTATTCTATAAAATATTTTTCTTAAATGAGGTCTTAAACAGATCACTTTTTCTTATCCAATCATTTTTTCTGAATTAGATATTTTTTTTAAAGATAGTTTTCCCTATAAAAAGTCTGAGCTGGGGTTAATAGGATTGGTTTTTTTGCCATTTTTTAGATTTCATTGATGTTAACTCAATTTTTAAAAAATTTTAAATCAATCACATGAAAAAATTTTCATATTCTTTCTTTGATAAAAAAACTTTTTTTTTGATCTTTTTGTTATTTTTATCATCTTTTTGTTATTATTTATTTGATATTTCTTAATTTTTTATATTTTGGGGCCTCCTATGATCACCTCCTTCCATATTCAAAATCTTTAAATTTTTATCACATCATCCTGGATGATATTCATATCATCCTAAACGATATTATCAAATCATCCTTCATCATCAATCTAACAACTGATCTGTCTCAATCATTTGAGATCATCATAGATGATCCATATCATCCTGAATGATTTGATCAAAACCTGCTCAATTATTTGTGATCATCCTAGACGATTAACCTATTCATCTTAGATGATCCATATGGAAAAAATGGGTACATGTTTTAAATTTGGCATGTAGGATCTATTAATGTCGATCTTCCTGAACAATCCACCTAATCATTCTAGATGATCCTATCATCAACTGACATCTGGCATGACTCCTCAGGATGATCACCTGAGTCTAATCATCCTGGATAATGTCTGATCATCCTAGATAATAGGACCACCTTTTTAACCATTCATTATGGATGCCTTAAATTTGCTAGATTGTCATGGATGATATAGCGATCATCCTAGACAATACTGACGATTCTTTATAAATAATAGATTTCAAAGAGTTTTCTCACCCTCGCAACCTCAATTTCCTCTTTACACTCACTCATACTCTAAACTTCTTATCAATGGAAAGTAGAAAATGCTCAAGGATGGTGATCGGTTGTTCCTCGAGGGTGTCTGTCAACCCTCACCTCACTGAGGCAGGTGACTAAGCTAGCTATCTATGATACAAAACTATTAGGATCACTCTTTTAAGGACCATAATGTTGCAGATCAATGTTTTATGATTTTAATGATAGCAAACATTTTTATTTTTATACGACTTCCTTATATACTGACATTTCAGGTTGACACGATCGGACTATAATTTGGAATCAGCTCAAGATTGGGTAGACTAGGTATGAGTAAGTTTGAACCCTTTTTCCTTTCTTGAGTCTATTGTATTTGTTGTGGCTCATGATGCTTCGTAATGTATAAGAGTTTCTAACTGTTCCCTAGAGTTTCCTTTTTTTGGTAACATCATCCTGGATGACATTTATATCGGCTGGGACGATCTGTTCGAAAGCAAAAACCCTAATTAGGGCATCCTCATTAAAGTAGCCGTCTTTATGAAAAACACATCGTCCTGGACAATTTCATATCGGCCAGGATGATAGGCTCAATTTAGAAAGAATCTGCTGCCATATCTACTTAGGAAATTCTTATTTTTTGATATCGACCTCGTGGATCGGCCTGGCCTATAAAATATCGGCCAAGACGATTTAGGACAATTTTTCCAAAATTTCTCTGGCAATTTTGGAAAGCAATTAATGGTGATTTTGTCCGGGCCGATCGTAAGATCGTCCGGGATGATTAGACATCATCCAGCTTCATTTCAGGGCGATATTCAGGACAATTTTCCTCATATTTGAACTAATCGTCTAGAACGATATGTCTATCATCCTGGACGATAATGTCAGCAACTTGTATTAATGAGCTTATTTTTAGCTCTTCTATTTAAGCTATGACAAGGAACTTTGTAAGTGTCTTTGGAAGCCATTGTAGCTTCATTCTTGTGGGAGAAACTTGAAGAGAGAGCTTGAAAGGGAGAGAGGAAAGGGTGGAGTTTGAGGGGAGAAGATCCTGTGAGGGGGGGAACTCAAGGGAGTGTGGAGGGGATTCCACACGGTTGCTCCGGCAAACTCGCACCTTAGTACCATCGGATTCAAGGCTTGTCTCGAGGTAAGTTCACCAAAGAAGAAGATCTCCTTGGTGTCAAAGGACCCGGCGACTCCGCCGCACCGGGGAAGGTGGAAGTGATTTGGTAAAGGCTTCTCCGCCTAGCTATGGGGGCTAAAGGAGCATCACAATTTTAGTGCAATACTTGGAGGGTGCCTCCAAGGAGTGGACGTAGGTCAAGGTTTGACCGAACCACTATAAATCAGGTGTGTTCTTTCTTTATTACTTTCGCACTTTAATTTCCACATTATTGATTTTCTATGTGGTGATATTGGTTTTAGTTTGAGTTTTGGTTTAAAGATTCTTTTTTTTTTTAATTCACTTCTCTCTTTGTTTGTCTTGGGCCAGTTCATAAGAGCTTAACATCCCTAACAAACTTTCAAGTGTTATCAGAGCGGGATTCATAAAATAAGAATTTAAAAGCTTTTAAATTTTGATCCATGGCTAATTTTTCTAATCGTAATATAGCGGAAGGATATTCAATCACCAGACCTCATTTATTTGAAAATATGTCATTTGATTTTTGGAAAACTCGCATGTTTATTTTCTTGCAATCGATTGATTTTTGCATTGGAATATGATT